AAAAGTTGTTCAACATCATTATCCATTAGGGAAATGCAAATTAAAACTATGACATACTACTATACACTTTTTAGAATGGCTAAAATAAAAAAACTGATAATACCAGTGCTGCTGCTGCTGAGGAACAACTGGAACTCTCACATATTGCTGGTGGGAATGCAAAATAATACGGACATTCTGGAAAACAATAGTTTGGCAGTTTCTTAAACAGTTAAACATACATCCATGTGACCTAGGGATTTCTGGGTATGTTCAAACAAAAATCCAGACATTTCTGGGTATGTTCAAACAAAAATCTGGACACAAAAATCCAGACACAAATAGCAGCTATATTCATAATCACCCCAAACTAAAAACAACTATAATATACTTCAATGGGTGAATGAATAAACAAACTGTGGTACATTCATACAAATATTCAGCAATAAAAAAGAATGAAATACTGATACCCACAACAACTTGGATGAAACTCAAAAGCATTATGCTGAGTGAAAGAAGCCAGTCTTAAAAGATTACATACTATGTGATTCCATTTATATGGTATTCTCGAAAAGGCAAAACTAGAGGGTGGTTGCCAGGGATTGGGGGGAGGTGTAACTATACAGAGTTGCTAGCACAAAGGAGTTTCATAGGGTGATAGAACTGCTCTGTATCTTGATTGTGGTGGTTATACGAGTATATGAGTCTACACATGTATTAAAATTCTTAGTACTGTACCCACCCTGCCATCCCCCCACAAAAGGTCAATTTTACTGTATGGTGATCTTAAAAAGGAAAGAAAAGAAAAGAAAATGAAAAACAAATTTAAAGATACATCCTAAAATTAGTATTCATTCCCACTGCTATCTGGTATGTATTCCACTGTATGACTCCACCACAATCTATTGGTTATATGGATTGCTCTAAGATTTTTGCTATTAGAAACCAAGCAAGTGCTGCTTTGAGTATTCTCGCACACATCTCCTTATACACATAAGCCAAGTTCCTTTAGGGTTTATCATCAAGTGAGGAAATTCCTGGGTACAAACATCTTCTAGCACCAAACTGTTTTCCATGTGTATTAAGTGTTCCCAGCGGGGGCACATAAGGGGCCCAGTTGCTCGACAACCTCATCAGCGCTGATTAGGAGAGCTGGATTCCTGCTGTTCTGGCAGGAGTAAAGGGTGGCTTCACTCTGCTTCCTCAATGGCTAATGAGGCTGAATCCTTGCCTTGGGTTCATAAGCTGTCTTTCCTCTCACCAAAGGCCTGTTTAAGTGCTCTGCTTGATTTTTCATTGGGTTGCTTGTGTTTTTCTTTCATTACAACTTCTCCTTATTTAGTCTTTTGTTGGTTATGTCATGCTGCAAATTTCTTCTTCCCATTTGTAGCTCCCCTTTTTTTCATCTTCTTTATGATAAAATTCTTAAGTTTATTTATTTATTTTTAAAGTTCTTATGTTTAAAACAGTCATTCGTTTTTCACTAAAGGTTTATGTTTTCTGTGACTGGCTTAAGAATTCATTAGGTCACAGAGAAATTCTTCTAAATATAAACTCTAAAAATACTATAGTTTTGCCTTTTACACTTAAATCTTTTCATAGTATGACACAGATACCCAATTTTAATTTTTTCCCAAATGGACAACCAATTGTCCCAACATCATTTACTGGAAAGTCTATCATTTCCACCTGTTTTAGCCAGCTCTGTCATAAATAAATTTTTTACATACATGTGGGTATAGTTTAGGGTTCTGTATTCTACAGGAGGAGTATCTCTTATCTGAAATGCTTGAGACTAACAATATTTTGGATTTTGGATTTTTTCAGATTTTGGAATATTTGCAGAATACATACTGGTTGAACACACCTAATCCAAAATTCCAAAATCCAAAACACTCCAATGTGCATTTCCTTTGAGTGCTGTGTCGATGCTCAAAAAGTTATGGATTTTGGAGCATTTAGGATTTCAGATTTTCATTAGGGAAGCTCAACCTGTATCACGAGGTCCATTTCTCTATTCCTTCACCAAAACCATCATGTCTTAATTTAATATAGTTTTATAGTAATTCTAGATTAGAGGAAGTCCTTGCCACCCAAACACCCACACCCACCTCTTGGGTAATTTATTATTTGTTTTAGTTGTATCTTGACTATTTGGGGCCTTTTATCTCTTTGCTTTAACATTTAAAACCTCTTTGTCAAGTTCCATAAGTAAATAAGTAAGAATTGTTACCGGTATTGCACTGGAATTTGAATGATGTGGGTAAAACTGATGTCTTTAGACAGGATCTTCTGATCATTCATGAATTACATCAAGCTATTAACCATGTTTGAGTGGGAAGGACTGCAGAAGTTCACGTTGTTCTTTATTTATCTGTCTTCTGGTTTGTTTTTTCTTTTAATAATCACATCTACTTATTGAATACATTATATGTAAATTCATTCAGGCAAGCTTATAATGGAATTACCTGTCAACAGTTATACTTACTTTTCTCATATACTTTTAAAATACATTTTCATTGTCATTTTATTTATACTTTTTTTCTTCTTTTTAAAAAAATTTTCAGCAGCAGTTGGCTGGTACAGCATTCTGAACCCTTGACCTTGGTGTTAGTAACAACATGCTTTAACCAACTAAGCTAACTGGCCAGCCCCTATATATACTATTTAATATACTGTTATTTTTCAAAAAATACCTAACAGTTCTATCAATTACTTGGAGAGGTATATTAAAATCTCCCAATACGATGAATTTGCCTATGTCTCCTTGTAGTTGTCAATTTTTGTTTAATATATTTTGAGGTTGTAATATTAGGTGTATACAAGTTCGGAATTATCTTTCTGATGGCAAAACCTTTCATCATTATGTACTTGGCCCTCTTTACTTCAATAATGCTTTTTACCTTAAATTCTATTTTGTGCAATACTAATATAACTATACCAATGTTTTTAGGTTTGGCATTTTCCGACTCTTTTTTTCACTCTTTTATTTTCAACCTCTCAGAAATCTTATATTTTAGATGTGTTTTATAAAAAGCACATTCGTGATTTTGTTTATCCATTCTCACCATCTTTTTAACTGAAATATATGATCCATTTACACTTAATGTAATTGTGCCACATTTAGATTTACTTCTATCATCTCATTCTATACTTGCCGTTTGTTGCTACCTTTTCTATGTTATCCTTCTCTCTTTTCTTGGCCTTCTTTGGGGTTAATAATTTTCTTATTCTATTTTTTATCCTCAACTAGTTTAGAAATTATATACTCTGTTAATGGTTCCACTTGAAATTTTAATACACACACTTAACCTACCAAAGACTAATGTTACTCATTATCTTTATCTTCTTCTTGAACAAAAAAAGAACCCTAGAATACTACTTCCCAACTTTCACTCAGTAAGAATTTTAGTTCTTTTTTTCCTAATACCATAAGATATTTCTATTGTTTTATAAAGCCACTATTTTTTTGCTCTTTATTCTTTCTCATTTCCTCATAGGACTGCTTTCCTTCTGTCTAAACACATCGATTAGAATTTCCCTTAGTGCGGGTCTGTTATTCACAAAGTCCCTCATTCAATCTGTATGAAAATATCTCTATTCAACCTTTCTCTCTCTCTCTCTCTCTCTCTCTCTCTCTCTCTCTCTCTGGTAGCTTGCCAGTATGGGGATTCAAACTCTTGATCTTTACTCAATTTTTAGAAGTATATAATCTAAGTTGACAACTACTTTTAATGAGCACTCTGAAGTCACTGTATCACTTCACTATTCTTTAGCTTCCAATGAAGCTGTTGATAAGTGCTAGTGCTGTCAGTCTAATTCATATTCTTCTATAGGTAATCTATTTTCTCTCTGGCTGCTTTCAAAATTTGTTTTTGATGTTCTGAAGTTTTGTTATAATGTGTACAAGGGTGGATTTAAAAAATTAATACTCCTTGGGATCTATTGGGCTTCCTAAATATGGGAGATAGAATATTGTCACTTTTATTGAAGTTGCCACAGATTTCCTTCCAAACAGAGTACTGTTCATTCTCTGTTCTCTCTGAGGCTCTGATTAGATTTCCTTTCAACCTCTACATCTTTATTTTTTTTTTATTTCTTCTTTCAACCTCAACATCTCTTAATCTCTTTCATATTTTCCACCTGTCTGTATTGGCTACATTCTTATGATTTCTTCAAATCTATCTCCCAATTCATTTATTCTATAATGCTGCTAAACCCCTTTGGGATTTATTTCAAAATATATATACTTGTGTGTGTGTGTGTCAAAGTTATTTGGTACTACTTCATCTTTTTTGATATTTAAAAACATTACATATAATTTTATATTCTGTGCCCGATAATTCCAACACCAGTAGTTTCTGCAGGTCTGATTTGACTATTACTGCTGGCTGTTACTAGTGCTGCCTTGTTTCCTTAAGCATTTTGTCAATTTTTTTTTACTACAAGCTCATTATTTCTTGGAATGTGTTATATGTCAGAATTCTTTGAAGCCTTGCCTAGAAGACAGGTTCTTCTTAAGAGGATTTGTGTCTGTATCTGGCAAAGATCTAAAGGCACTACCTGATGGTGATCACTTTAAAGTTAAAGTCCTAACCTGAGGATTTTTAACACCATGCCAGTAGTAGAATTCGTGCTAAAACTGATAAGAGGACCAGCTTGTCAGGGCCAGTTTTTTCCTCTCAATCTAACACTGAGTTTCAAAAGAGCTCTTTTCTGTTTTGTTTTGGCTGGTCTCTCAGCAGAGGCCTAGGCAATACTGTTACATTGTTAGTTTTTCCTTGCATTTAGGAGGGGTTTCTTAGTAGACATCACACCTTTGTAGGCCTGTGGGTTTTGTCTCCTGTCTTTGTGTCCTGTAGGGTATGAGAACCACAGCCTTGGTTCAACAGGGTTTGGCAAGTTTGATTGTATTCTTCTCTGGTTTCCTGCTCTTGTTACTACCAGTAGTTTTCAATGTTGGACTTCTTTATTTACTTACTAGCTCATCAATCCATTTAAAACATTTTAAAATTTTTATTTATTTTTTTGGAAGCTGGCTGGTATGGGGATCTGAACTTGTGATTCATTTTAAAAGATAGTTTGCATAATTCATCCTACACTTAAGTTCTTCTAATGATAGGATCTGTCCAGATCTCTAGGTGTCTAGTTTGCCATACTGCCAATCCAAGCTATTTTCACCTACACATAAAACTATGTCCAGTGAAGTACCCACAGAAAGAAGAACAAGAACTTGAAGGTCCCCCTACATGTTAGAGAAGTAACAGTGTTCAAGAAGGCAGCAGAGTTAGAGTCACCTTGATGTGTCTGGAAATACCCACAAAGTAATAATACCTAACAGAGGAGGTTGGACAGACAGCAAGACAGAATATCCTAGCCACCTTAGAAACCTTAATGCTGGCATCCTATAATCAATCACGGTTTATGATTCTATTAAAACATAATTTCATATTCCATAATCTACCATATAGCATTTCCAAATTTAAAAACAAAAAACATACACTGCTTTCTACAATACCACAGCCTCCGAAAGCCTTTCTGGCCTATAATATAAATCTTATAATTAAATATTTACAGCACTAATCGTCAGGAAATGCAAATCAAAACCACTTTGAGATATCACCTCACCCCAATCAGACTGGCTATTATAAAAAAGACAGAGAATAACAAAAGCTGGAGAGGACGTGGAGAGAGAGGAACCCTGCACTGTTGGTGGGACTGTAAATTAGTGCAGCCATTACGGAGAACAGTATGGAGGTTCCTTAAACAACTACAGATAAAACTTCCATATGATCCAACAATCCCACTCCTGGAGATATATCCAGAGGATTGGAAAACATCAGGTTGAAGGCATACATGCACTCCCATGTTTATTGCAGCTCTATTTACAATACTAGGCAATGGAACCAACCTAAATGTCCATTGATGGATGACTGGATAAGGAAACTGTGGTATATATACACACTATGGAATACTACTCATCCATAAAAAAGAATGAAATTCTACCATTTGCAACAACATGGATGAGCCTGGAGAAAATTATCCTTAGTGAAACAACCCAGGTACAGAAAGAGAAATACCGCATGTTCTTACTCATAACTGGGAGCTGAATCCATAAACAAACAAATGAACAATAAAGAGAGTCGGGGAGAAAGAAAGAAACAACAATCACAGTAACAGACTGAACTTTTAAAAAACTAGAGGTGGAAAAGGGGAGGAGATGGGGGAGAAGAATGGGGGCTAATGAGGAATTTGGTCAACGGACACAAAGAATGATCATGTATTGTAATGATGAATAAGCTAACTATACTGATCTAACCATCACACGCTCTACACAGTTATTGAAAATCAACATTGTACCCCAGATGTATGTATAATAAAAACAAAACAAAACAAAACAAAACAATAAATCTTTATAGCAGGATTTGTGATGTGAATATGCAATAATCTTTCAGAGAATATTTGACAATGACTTTTTTTTTTTTTCCTTTTTGTCTTTTTTTGTGTCTGGCAACGGATCGCAACCCTCAGTTTCGCGCTCGTACCGGACCGGGACCGGCAACGGGATCGCAACCCTCGGTGTTGCTCCCACATCTCGCTCAGCCAGTGAGCGGGAACCGGTCTGTATGTGGGATCCGAACCCTCGGCGGGAGCGCCACCGCGCTCCCAAGCGGTGCACTGCAGCAGTGCGCCACAGGGTCGGCCCCGACAATGACTTTTAAAGTGGCAATAAATACTAGGTGAAACCATGCTGAAGCTCTACCTCCAAGATGTCTGCTCATGCTGCTACTTCTACTCCTAACAGTCTTCCCTACCACAGCTCCCACTCACATTATAATTCCAGAAAATCTTCCAGTACGTGCCCAGATTTTGTTTTCCTGCCACCTCTTTCCAAACTTTGTTCACCATGATTTCAAGAATCTAACATACACTTGTGACACATTAGGCCCTCATAAAATGTTAGCTCCCCTTCTCTGTCCTTTAACTATGGTTAAAGAACAGTGTGGGCCAGAGCAGTCAGAGGAATGAAGGTTTCCTGGAAAATTTAGGCTGGGCTAATGAGAGATAGGTAGGGTTTAAATAAGAGAAGGCAAGTGTTGAACTGAAGATACAGGAGGGAGTAAGAAGACTGGCTGCATGTCGGGGGAGCAGCCAATGATGAGGCTGGAGAAGTGAAGTAAACAAGATTATAACAGAATGTGAATGCCAAGCAGATGTGTGAGTCTGACCGAGTCCGCAGTTACTCCTGGCACACACTCACCTGTGCTCGCTGAAGACAGAGTTGTCCAGAACAATCTTCTCCAGCAGCTCAATCAGTTCGTTAGGCAGATCAGCTGTCATAAAGGCTTTGACAGTGACTGAGACCTCTTCAGGATCCTGTGTTTCTGACAATGCTGTTTGTACCACCTGGTTTTAAAAAGCATTTAAAAGAACTTAAAGTCAATTCAAGACTATATTTTTGAAGCTAAACAGAGGGAAGGACTTCTCCAAGAAGGGAAGACAGCTGGAACAGATACAGAAAAAATGGGAGTTTTCTCAGGGTAGAAAGGGAAGGACATCTAAAAGAGTCAATCTCAGGGAATTCTAATTTTGCTCTATTTGACAGTTTTTCTCTTACATCAAAAGGGCTACAGACTCTTATCTCTCCTCCAATGACCACACTAAATTTACTCCAAAGCCAATACATAACACAGTGCACTAAACAGGTATTTGAAATGCATGTTTGCTTTTATCTGTTTCTTAAAGCCTCTTTCTAGCAGACAGCACTGCTGATACTATGGCACAGTCCACTGCCAGTGGACATGGTCAAGTGCAACCAGAGCTACGGAGCTGTGTGCCTTTGGAAGCCACTCAGAACCACACTCTGAAGGAAAAAACAACAAAAGACTGGCCCTACTGCCCCTCATTCAATTACAGGTGTCTCACCTACAAAAGAAACTTACAAAGAGGGCATAAAGACAATTTTCCAAAGAGTATGTTTCACAAATAACAGCAGGTTAGAAGACCAGCACTGTTCTCTTTGCACTTTGTACCAGGGCCTTCAGTGTCTTTCGGATCTATCATTTTTGCCAAGTTTCTGGTGTTCCTCAGAGGTTTGTAACAGCAGTGTATTAATGAGAAAGAACAGACAACTCTGAGGAGGTCTTACATAACTGACATACACTGTTGGCTATGAACTTTCACCTCCCAATCATGAGCGGCCTTAAAGGAAAACAGGAGCAAAGTCAGCCCATTCCGCCTTTTGGGTGGCCTCTGTGCACTCAATGACACCTTAAGATACAAAAGTTCTGCCTCTGTGGAGTTTATAACAATCACAATATGCATGCAGAGCAGTTATAGAAAAGGAGCTGTCGCAAAGCTAAGTAACCAAAAGAGCTATCTTTGAGGGAAAGGGGTACGGTGATGCAGCACAGAGTCCAGCCAAAGAAGAAGATGTGTTTTCTGGCATTCTGACAGTGACATCTAACTGCCAATTCTTGAAAACCTTAGAGTGGTTTAAATAAATACATAGAAGTTGTTTAAAGGACAAAAATAAATTTCCACCATCTATTTGAGTGAACACAGGATGCCCAACCTAAGGTTACCTAAGGACACGGCCTCCTCTAAGTAAACTTTTCATAAGGTTCTACTCCAGACACGAAAAGCAGTCTGCCTCTGTCATTATGGGCTCCCAATTAGAGAGGCACTGCAGTTAGTGTCCCACCAGGAGGTGGCTACAGATATTCAATTATAGCAGACATAATGACTGGACCAGCAGCTCCACACAGCATCAGGAAGACAAGAGGTACCTGCTGGTTCTAGTTCAATACAGTCTTAAAGCTGCCCTTCCCCAGTGCCAACACAAGGTTATCTACACGGTGAACCAGATGGGTGGACTATACCTAGAGACATATCTGATGTCTGTGAACTTGGGGGTAGATCCCTAGTAGAATCTAAATAAATTCTGTTCCTGGCCCTTGTCATTCAATGTTTTTATCAGATTTGGATGAAGTGTATTAAATCTTCAGGCAAGTTCTCAAGACAGGTAGGCCCAAAGCTGGTATAATAAAGATTCAAAACAACATGGGCTTTTGTAATCTAAATGTGTTTCAAAATAAAAGTTTACTTTAAAAAAATAATGGCACAAGCTTGAGAGAACAGTAAACAGAAAACAGGAAGGTAAAGTTCAGTTGAGATAAAGGTGACATCCAGCTCTCGAGTTCAAAGCACCTGCCCAGCAGATTGGCAACATGCATGAAGGAGGTGCGAACTTTAACTGATTGCATGCTCAGAGCTGAAGCCACTCTTGGGCCAGGGTTTTGTTCCCACACTGGTCTCGGTCCACCCCTAAATGGTATGCCCAGCAGCCTATGGAACAGTGCTGAGGACAACAGAGGTACTACGTGCTAACATCTGCGAAGAGGGCAGGCCTCTTCCACAGAGCTGCAGGAAGCCCAGAGGCCAAGGCAGACTCTCACCTGCCAGGCTGTGCCTAGTAATGACCCCTGGCCCCAGCACTATGCTCCAGCTCCAACGAAGTGCTGGATAAGTCAGCTGAGACAACCGTGAGAGCTACTTAGCTACTGTCAACAGAGGGCTGAGATGGAAAAGCAATTAGCATCCAGCATGCAGGCACACCATCAGATATTTTTTTTTTACTGGGGCTGCACATCCCCGCTCTAGATACAAGGGCCAATTTTATGCCCTTAGCCACAACCCCAAGTCAGTTTACCCTTGGTAATCAAGTTGCTTCTGCAGGGAAGAAGGTTCATAAGAGCTGTAAGATGTTTTAGATATAACAATTAAATCAGTCACTTGAGCTACAAGATTAGTAGAGGGCAAATTGCAGGCATGCATACACACCCATTTGTGTGCCTCACCTGGTCAATCAGCTGTCTCCTGGATGGGTTGGTCTCCTCAAGGACATAAGCCCAGAGCTCTGGATCCTTCCTGTGCACCAAGTAGCGGGCCTCGCTTTTGAACAGAGAATTCTCACTGCAAACCTGAAATGAGTACACCTGTGTTTAACACAAGCAGCCAGCTGACAGAAGCTACTTGGAAATACACACCCCAGTTAGTTCCCTCTTTCCTGATACTACATTGGTGGACAGCTGGAGACCAAGCAAGACATTGTGTTTTGACATAGGAACTGACAGAAGCTACTTGGAAATACACACCCCAGTTAGTTCCCTCTTCCTGATACTACATTGGTGGACAGCTGGAGACCAAGCAAGACATTGTGTTTTGACATAGGAGGAGCAGCATCCTGCAGGGTTAACACTGCACTCCTCAGAGAGACAAAGCACCGCAAAATGCAGCTTTCTAAGTTTACAGCAACTCACAGGGAAGTGCCATGGCTCAGCCAGTGGATATTTCTGTGATGATGGATATGCTCTATATCCTGTGCTGTCTGATATGGCCACCACTAACCACAGGAGGCCACTGAGCCCTTGAGATTTGGTGTGCAACTGAGTAAATTTTTAATTTTAATTTCAGTCATTTAAATTTAAGTATTCACATGTAGCTAGCTCTAAACCATCTCTAAAGAGTTATCAGAATAGCCCAGAACTAGTATAAAATAGCACATATACTGCAAAATTTAGAGGGCTAAAAACTGTAAAACGGAGTTCACTGACTGATCTTGAGACCCTTTTCTGAATGTCTAACAGATCTCCAAAACACCAGCTGTGCCCTAGAACGTTCTGATGTGTGAAGCATCTGCTAGGTCCTGGTGAGAACCATATCCGTTGAGTACCAGATGCTAGGCACAAGGCAGGTACATGCATGTACCTGTGAATGCAACACAGGCTGCCTGTGTACACATGGCAGAGGCCAGAGCAGGCTGGTGTGGCGTCAACCACACAGGTGCTCTGCCCCTGAAATCACATTGCAGCTCTCTTTTGGACAGAGCAGACCTTAAATGAGCACTTCTTTCCAATCTAAAACTTGCCTTGCTAAAAGGACACTTTACCACACAGCACAGAAAAGTGCTAAGATCGCGAAGAAGTCACTAAACTTTGCTTTAATAAAAAGGTGGTAAATTAAGCCAAAAAATGGCTTACTGGTATCAAACTAACTAAAGTCCCAGCTTTACAAAAACCAGTTCCCTAGAGACTGTCAAGTGAGAGGCTATGTCCACTCAAACCTGTTACTTCTGTGGTCAGTGTCCAAAAACTAGGGTAGAATGAGAAGCTGGTAAACTGCTCTCCATCTTCAACTCTACACATTTATAACCTAACACATGCCTTCCATGGCTGCTACATGTGTTACAAGTGGTCAGAAATTCTGAGGTGCTGGGGACAAGTAGACGACTGCCTATGAAGAGCTTACAGTTAAACAAATATCAGGTTCAACCACATGGGATTTCTGGTCAAATGGTTAAGTATTGACAGTTCATATGGTTTAACCTGAATACACAATTACATACATGCAGATCAAATCCCAGACAGACACAGGCAGGGGACCTGAGTGAATGTTTCAAGGTTGGGGGGATGGGCAGTAAGAGCTGGGTCGATCAGGAAGAGACAGAGAGGACATGTGTAGGGAGTTCCTCTAAGAAGAGGGGAGACAATACAAGGGCACCCAGGGAACTGCAGGCCACTCCAGGAGTGGTGGCAAGAGGGGCACTGGTCAGGTCAGTGGAAGGAAGGTGGTAGTCCACAGAGGAGCTCATGGGTCGGGCTTAGAAGTTCAATTTTGCTCTCAAATCACCAGGTCACATGGAGTGCTGTAAGCAGACGGGTGATGGGTTGAATTTGGGGCCAACTAGGCCTATGGATACAATACATACAAACAGGGCATGAGCAGATCCCAAAAATGTGTCAGACCTGCCATCTCTGGGTACAGAGAAAGCCCTGATCAGCCCCCACAGGCACATATTTGAAGCTCTGCCCCATGAGGCCAGAGCAACATGGGCTGCTAAGCAAACTGTGCCCACCTTGATGAGCTCCAGGTCACACTGTCCCCGTTCATAGGCAACACAGGCCAGATGCGGGTCCCGCTTCTCACAGTACCGGCCCACCACACTACTGTCATAGTAGACGTTCTCCCTCAAGAAGCGCTCGGGACTGTTGTTGCTGTCAATGTAGATTTTGGCAAGTGCATTGTGAGTGGCAGGCTCTTCACAGCCTTCATGAATCCGGGACTCCAGCCAGGGAAGCAGTAACTTGAGCCTTTGAAAGAAGGAAGATACTGTCAAAGCCTCAAGGCTACCATCAAAAACCTCCAGGACAATCCCTGTGCTGAGGGTTGCTTCTTGAAACAAACAAGCAAAAACCTCTCAATCCATTAACTACGGGTTGTTCTAGGGATCAAGACAGACCTGGTTTCCAAATTTATTTCAATCCTTAAAGCTTTTGCCCAAGGTCTTCATTACCAATAGCAAATAACTCACTACTAGATATAAGATGTGTATGTGAAAGACCAGCCATGGAGACAGTCCTGGGGCTGACAGGGCGACCATGAAGATATCCAGGATAATTAGTCAGAGACTTAACAACAAACACTAGAATCCAGGTGCAATAGAAGATACCAAGTAAGGATCTCATACCTGTTTCTTTTCTCTACTTCAGCCACCAGCTCATCAGTAGAGAACTGTCCTCTCACCACCATGATTAAGTTTTTAATTACTTCTTCAGAACAATCCACATCAAGCAGTCCCCCAACCACAGCTGGGATCCGGCTGGGGTTGACCTAGAATAGTCAAGGTGGTGATTTCAGCGCTGCAGACACAGGTCATTGCTAGCAGCCCCCTAAGACTTGGACAGTGTGGGCAAAACCTGAAAGGGCTCCTGTTTAGAACTAAACTGTGTCCCATCAAAATTCGTATGTTGAAGCCACAACCCCCAATGGGACGCTATTTGGAGATAGGACCTTTAAGGAGGTCACTAATGTTGAGAGCGGGGCCCTAATCCAATAGGACTGGTGTCCTTATAAGAGGAAGAGACACCAGGAGTGCACACACACACACACACAGCAGAAAGGCCATGTGAAGACACAGTGAGGAGTTGGCTGTCTGCAAGCCTGGGAGAGAACCCTCACCAGAAACCAATCCTGCCATCACCCTGATCTTGGTCTTCTGGCCTTCAGAACTGTGAGAAATAAATTTCTGTGTTTAAGCAACCTGGTCTGTGATATTCTATTTTGGCAGCCTAAGCGGGCTAATATAATATTATATATTTAATATTTAATTATATTGATAATATTTATAACAATATTTAATTATATATTTAACATTTAATATAATAATACAAATTTCTGTTGTTTAAACCTGGTCTGTGATACTCTATTTTGGCAGCCTGAGTAGACTAATATACTACCCTTCAAACTCACAGTCTCTGAAATGCTTAGGTGTCAGGCAGCCTCTTAGGTGTAGGTTATTACCACTGACTGAAGCCCAGAGGCAGCCAGGCAGTCCTGGGCAGCTCTGGGGAGCCAGAAGCGACCGTCTCAGCAGTACCTTCTGAACGTAGATCTCAATGTACTTCTGCAGGTCGTTGCGGTATAAATATAGCACGAGGTCATGGACAAAGTCAAACCGATCACATACGATGATGAGGGGAAGCTGGTCTGTGAGCTTGGCCTCCTGAGGGTCGGAAAGCCCAGAAAAGTCAGGCAGTAAGGACCCACAGAGCCAGACCATGGAACAGCACTGCCTCTGCAGCAGTGACCCATAGGAAACTCAGACTGGGATTTCCCTTTAGATATACTGTCATTTTAAGGTATTTACTTTTGGGGATGTAGTGTTTGCTTTGGCAAACAAGTGAGGAAATACTACTAAAGCATTTGATTTAAAAAATGGTGGGGGAGGGGGAGGCTAGCTGGTTAGCTCAATTGGTTAGAACATGGTGCTGATAACATCAATGTCAAGGGTTTGGATCCCAATACCGTCTAGCTGTCAAAAAGAAAAAAAAGACTTCACTAAATCTGGCAATAACATCCCAAATTTGTACAAAACCAAACATTTTTTGGGTTAAGAGAAGCAGCTCATTATGCATAAACCCAACACAGACCAAGCTGCTCTCAGGACAGCACGTCTGCGTTAGGGTTGCCTTTCCAGACAAGCAGCCACAGTGCACGGAAACACCAGCCTGTGGGTGCAGGCAGCTGCCCTCCACACACTCGCATTCCATTCCCAGACAACAATGGCACTTTGGCAGGACAGGCAGCAGGCCACGCGATCACACCTCCCCTTCCCTGGACCCGCATCTAGATTACATTTCCCAGGGTCCCCTGAAGTTTTAGGTGTGGCCCTGTGACCTCATTTCCTCCAAGGGAACATGAATCAAAGTGTCATCTGCCACTTGCAGGTCTCACTGACAAAAGCCACTCATGCTGGTTCCTCCTTATTCTTCCCTTCTTCCAGTTTTCTGGGAAGGCAAAGGAGTCATTGGCCTGGTCCTTGAAGGACGGTGGGAAGGAAAGCCGCCCCACTTACCTCCACGAACACGAGGGTTGTCATGTGAGAAAGAAGCAGGCTTCCTATTCTTTACGCCATGAGTGGTTTATTTATTAGTGCAGCCTTGCCTAGCCTAACCTACAGGGGCACAGTTGGGATGCTGCTGAACTATAATGTGGCAATAAACTAATTCCGTCCATTCACATGCCAAGTAATTCAGAGCACAGCCTCAAGCTTCTTTCCACAAGGGATCTTAAAACCATGAATGGGTTCCTCTAAGAATTTTAGACCACAAAGTTCTAAGAGATCTGCCACTTGGGACGAAAAGAACACTGGAGAGACAAATTCAGCTTTTCGCCCCTTAGAAGCCTGACTGATGGTCTGCCTGATCTGCCATCAGTGAAAGCCACTCCCAGAAGCAGGCAATGCCTGGACACACCTTCAGGAAGTTCTTCACACGCTCCGGGTTGTAGCAGCTGCTCTCTCGGCATATCCTCTCTACTTCTTTGATCTGCCCCGTCTTACAGGCTGCCTGAATGTATTTCAAATGCACGTCTGGATCTTGGCTGAAGTTCACAATTGAGCCCAGGAAGTAGAAGAGGCCTATGAAGAGAGACTGTTCCATTCTGTCCCCATAACATCCCCCGCCTTCTCTGTAGCTGCTGCCCATGATGACCCTGCTCTATTCTCCAGGTACCCACAGCCCACTCAGAACTCATAATCCATATGAAGTTTGTCTGCTTTGACATCTCCCCCAAATAGCAAGTCAGATTTCCAAAAATTTGGGAAGTATACCTGGGATGTTTTGGTGTAAAATACTGGGGATTTGTTATAGGTGTAATTCCTTCCGGGGGGCCCAGGGACACCTCAGATGGTTATCTTCAAGAGTAACTCATGCTGAGATAACCTGAGAGGGCTGTGTGACTGTTGCTCTAAAAAGTCATGCCAGGGACAGAGGAAACAAGCAATGGTCTCCCACAGGAGCTGCCGAATGGGGGGGTCTGTGACCTGACAGAGAGCTGATGTGGACACCACTACATACTGAGCCCCGAGTGAGGCAAAGAGGATGTCAGTCAACAGGGGTTGATGATGTTCCTAGTCATTACAGGGGCCAGCCAGGGAATACTAGTAACAATAGGATATGATACAGCAGAGAAGGCCACTTTTCCTGATGAGGTCTTCAGTTCTAACAGTGAGGCTCTGACAACAGGAGCAGAATGGCAACCCCAAGGCCAGTGGTTCCCCACCAACGCTGCTCTGCTGCCACTTCCCATTCCAGCTCCACCCAATCTTCTGCTACAGCCTTTCCTATAGTGCTATCTTCTCAAGAGAAGACCAGCTACCTGAGGGCAGGGTCTTGTCCCATCCTCCTCCAATGCCCCAACTGCACTGGGCACATGGCTTGACACCCCACTGGACAAATGCTCAGTCTCTATACTGGGAAAGACAGACAGCCACTGGCCTGTCCTCAACAAAGCCACTCCCCCTACCCCCAGAAGCATGCTATTTTGGTGTGATGCCCACAGAAGCACAAAGGAAGGAAACCAGGTCAGCCTCATCAATCAAGTGGGTAACACACACAACAAAGAGACAGACCCTCCTTTGTGGGCTCTCACTCAGGAGAGGACCAGGCCCTCTCATTGGTACCCAGAATCATAAGTACAGGATTTTAGATGAATCCTGTGCCAATGTGCTGCATAGAAACTTCAGAGATATGAGGAGGATTCCAAGTCTTCCCATCCCAGTGCCAACCAACCTGATTTCTTTCTTTGGAAACACCAATAAGGTTACTGAAGCTAAGCAATACACGTGAAATAGCAGTAATATTCTGCCATTGACTGAGTATGTAAGGCAGTGAGTGCTGCATGTTGCCTGGCTTTGCAGCAAGACCATTTTAAGTTAGGCAAGTAGACGTTACACCTCAGAATGGAGGTGCAGTCACATGGCGGGGTCAGCCAGAGGCTGCATGGTTTACCTTCATAACTCTTGAAGGACTCAAAGAGCTCCACCAGGGACTGTGTACCCAGTTGTTCGTGGTACTTGGAGGCCACCTGCACACACAGCTGAAGGTTCTGCCTGATGTTAGCAGACAGCATGGCATGCAGACACTCCACAGAATCCTCCACTGACAAGGAGCCAAAAAAGTTGACGAGCCACTAGAAACAAGGAAGAATCTGTCCACAACTAGGCATATTTTTAAGAGTTGCTACACTTGGGGACTGGCCGGTTAGCTCACTTGGTTAGAGTGCAGTGTTGGTAACACCAAGGTCAAGGGTACAGATCCCCTTACTGGCCAGCCACCAAAAAAAAGAAAAGTTTTAAAAATGTTGCTAACAGGGAGCTTAAAAAAAAAGAGTTAACACTTTGAAATAACTGGATCACCCCCTCCCCAACCCAGTGTCAAAAATATAAAGAATTTTCACTTAAAAGGACTAAAAAAGCAACTATCCATCATAGGAAAAAGTGGGAACAAGGAGTAAACGGGATAAGACACTGACCCGAAGTGTTCATCCTAGAACATTCCATAGCCAATACTAAAACCTATTCTGTAAATGGAATACAATAGCTATTTTAGCTTTTGCTAATGGCTTCAGATAGCCCTGCTGAGCTGTTAATGTTAAAAGATTATCTCTATTCCTGCTATTAGACTAAATCAAAGGTGGACATTGGAAAGGATGATATAGGGCCCAGACACACTGCCGAGCAGATGAAGTTTGTGCGCAGGCTAAATTTGAACTGATTTTGGCAGTGAAGTATGACAAGCTCATGCCATGGTCCCACAATCAGACAGGTGGACACTCGGGGGAATGTGATGCTAACAACTGCACAGGTGCCAGCCACCATGGGAGTGCCCCAATGATGCGCCATACCTCGGGATTGAGGAGGTGAGTGTGGACCACAGCCCTCTTGATGTCATAGAGGTCGGTGTAGTGCTCCAGTGCCCGCTGCAGAAGGCCTGCCTTCTCACAGAGCTGGGCAATGTGGGCCCGATCATAATGAGTAAACATCTGATTTCCAAGAATGGCATCTGCAACCTACGAAACAGTGAGTTCGGTAACAAAGCCTGTCAGTGGCAATAACTTCGCTGCAGAAGGCCTGCCTTCTCACAGAGCTGGGCAATGTGGGCCCGATCATAATGAGTAAACATCTGATTTCCAAGGATGGCATCTGCAACCTACGAAACAGTGAGTTCGGTAACAAAGCCTGTCAGTGGCAATAACTTTCAAAGCAGCTGCTCAACCATGCCCTCCAGGATAGAGTACAGCTCAGGAACCAGTGCTATGGGTGGTTCCTGCCCATATCCGTGCTTCCATAGCAGCAACAGCAGTGCTTATGGGTTCTGAGCAGAGCCTTGGCCATCCTTCAAGTCATCTCAGGCCCTTCACGCAAGGTTCCGATCTCCCTTATTGCAGAGCTGGCTATAGAGTCAAGAAGTGAGAAAGGCTGAGGTGCCATAAAGTGCTATTACTGGGATTAGTCCAAGTCGTTGTTGCAGCTTTTTAGCAATCACATTCTCAGAGGGTTTTCTACAGCAAGATCAATGAGCACGCTCAAGTTTACCAAGCCTTCCTTTAATGAGCTCAGTTCTCAAACTCATAACAGTCAGAATCAGACCTGAAAGTAACAAATCCTATCTGTTACTAGACTTCTTCACTAGATTAAAGGCAGTATTAGAAGTTGGGGGTTACATTTAAAAAACAGTAAGCACTCCTGGAAAGAATTCTGATGAGGTTTAACATTATCTTTAAATAAGTAATCTCTGGGCTAAGAATGGATGGGCTAACAAAGCAGCCTTGCTGCCCTATGATCCCATCCTCAGTACCTAACCTGTAGCTGGTCTTGATGAGATGCACCCTTGGGGGCCTTCCCCTGCTGCCCAGTGCACTACTGCCCTTCCCTCCTACGATGTGGAACACCAACCAAGTACAGTACTGGTCAAATACACAGTCACCACAGACACAGTCAACACCATACTGCTCCAGGATTCACACACTCCAGGTTGCACAGGGAATAAATGAACCAAACCAAGTCCTGAGAGTAGAGCTTAAAGCACCTGCTATCCCTGTCTTTTATTTCCTTCAGATCTATCCTTACTAACGTCTTGTTTTTAAACATTTCCCCTTATTATAGCAACAGTGTATTTTGGAGAACTCAGAAAACACAGATAAACCAAGAAAGAAAACATCACCTAGTCCACATCATCCAGAAAAGATGACCCAGCATTTTGGGGTGCTGTACGCAGCACTTGCTAGCACCCTGCCCAGTTGCTTGCTCATCCAGGCTGCCTCCCTTTGGGATTTGGGTGCCCCTTTGGGTCTGTCTTCCGAGTTTCTGTTTCAATCCTCATTCACTAAGAACTGTTCCATATGATCATCAAGTCATGGGAGCCCAACAGTATACCAAACAATAAATTAATAGCACTTTTATTTCCTAGAGGTGGGATATGACCCACTTATCAGTAGCTACCATTTGATTTGAATAAACTGAGTTAACAAAACATTATAATTGACATGTTTCCTAGTTATAAAACACATGATCATTAAAAAAAAAAATCAGAAGACAGATAAGTAAAGAACAGAGTGAACTTCTACAATCTTATCCACTCACAGAACGTTGGTTAACAGTTTGACATAAATTCCTTTAAATCCCTTTCCTGTATACATATCCAAATTTAACCAAAAATAGCATCTACATGTGATTCTATCATAACTTTGAGGTCGAGAAATGATGCCCCACCACAATGAGGTACCATCACATACCCATTAAGATGGCTTTTTTTTTTTTTTGTCCTTTTTGAAACCGGCCGCACCGCGCTCAGGCAGTGAGCACTGTGAGCGCACCGGTCATCCCTATATAGGATCCGAACCTGCGGCGGGAGCGCTGCTGCGCTCCCAGTGCCACACTCTCCCAAGTGCGCCACAGGCTCAGCCCAAGATGGCTATTTTTTTTAAAGGGGGAAAATAAGTGTTGGCAAGGACATGGAGAAAATGGAACCCTAGTGCATTGCTGGTAGGAATATAAAATGGTACAGCCTCTCGGAATATAGTAAGGCAGTTCCTCAAAAAGTTAAACACAGGATTACCATGTAATCCAGCAAGTCCACTTCTAGGTATTTACCCGAAAGAACTAAAGAGATGTTTGTACAACCATGTTCATAGCAACATTATTCACAATAGGCAGAAGATGGAAACAACCCGTATCCATCAACTGATGAATGGATAAACAAAATGTTCAATAGAGTATTATTCAGTCTAAAAAATGAAGAAATTTCTAACTCCTGCTATAATATGGATGAACCTTGAAAATAATATATACTATGTGAAAATGCTAGACAAAATATAATTCTATTTACATGAAGTATCTAGAATAGGCAAATTCATAGAGACAGAGAGTAGAATGGTGGTTGCCAGGGGCTAGGGATAGGAGGAATAGGAGTTATTGTTTAATGGTTACATAGTTCCTATTTCGGATGATAAAATATTCTGGAAATAACATAGTGGTGATGATTGTACTATACTGTGAATGTTCTTAATGCCACTGAATCATACACTTAAAAATTGTTAAAATGGTAGATTTTGTATGTATATTTGACCACAATGATGAAAAGAAGAAAGGAAGAAATGATGCCCCAACTGTAACTATTTCCATGAAAGTCTTGTACCATGACTTCTGGGAAAACCTTGTAGGAAAGTTATGAAGAATGTCCACTGAGAAGTACAAAGATAAACATCTGGCACGAGCACAACCCAGCCCAAAGCCACTGTGCTCAGATCAGCAAGTCCCACAGAGAGGTGCAACAGGTACTCTAACCCTTGGCATTAGCCTAGAAATGTCACTTGCCTGGGGTGCATGAATCAGGTTCATCTCCAACAGCTGAGTCTGGAGGTGCCCCTCAGCTGGGTGATTATTCTTCAAAGCATCCAACAAGAAGGAAGTACACTGCTGAATTAAACTGTTTTCCATAAAAATGTCTACAATCTGAAACAGATCCAAACCACATTTTCATGCAAAGGAAATAGTGTTTTATCTTCCTATTGAAATAGTTCCTGAAATAGAATCTCATTTAGAAATTCAACAATTTAGTTTCTTTCTTTGCATGTTCTTATGTCATCAAAGCTCATGTAATTAATGGTCATTATTTAGTAATAGGTAATTTTTGTGAAATCATACCACCTATATCATATCCACCAACTGGGCATTTTACTGGAGTAGATTGAAGGAAGTAACTTTTATAACATATGAACCCCAAAATGCTCTGAAATGATACAAGCAATCTTAACAATATACTTAATTAAATCCTAGAGACAGCTAATACTTGAAGTCTAGCCTTTATACTATCATTATATTATTCAGGCATCACTGGGAAAATGAAAACATCTACTTAGATATCAATTATTAAAGTTGAATAGATGTTAATTTGAAGAACTAATAAGCTTTAATAAGAGGTGAAACACAAGGGGGTCTTCAAAAAATTCATGAAAAGATAGTATTATCTTTTAATTCTATTTTTCCATGGACTTTTTGAAGTACTCTCATTTGGGTAATAAATTTACATAAATAAATAAACAGTAAATTGCATAAATTTTCATATTTAAAGTATAAGAGGAAAGTTTATATTTACAAAAAACTTTAAAAAATATGAAATGCAATCAAGATTTAAACTGGAGACCTCCATCCCATTGATGGCCAAGTAAATATGGCTCAAACCCCTTATTCACTATCTCCAAAATATCTGCAAATTCCCAGCTGTATACCCAATATAACTGCACTTATTATTTCTAGGCAGGTTTACTGCAGGTTACTTGTCATACGTTTACATCTAAATACTATGGAGGATGTACTAAAAAACTAGACCAATGCTGACATAAATCCAGGTCAGTCAGACACTAACAAGATGAAAGTCTGGGTGCCTCGCCAGCGCTCACCATGGTCCTCAGAGAGTTCAGGCCGTTTGTCAGAAACAGCTAGTAGAGCAGTAACTGGGGATGGGGTGAGAGCTGGAGGGCTCCACCCTGAAATGCACCCACATACCCTACCACCCAAACCATACAAAGGAACAAAATCCTCACAACTTGACATGTGAATCCTAGAAAACGCTTCAAAACAAAGGCAAAAGACAAGTATTCAAATAATAACAACTAGAAGACAAGCTCCCCTAGTACATTAGGTTTACAAAAACTGGAAGATTGGGGCCGGCCCGGTGGCGCACTGGATAAGTGCGCTGCTTGGGAAGTGCGGCGGCGCTCCCGCCCGAGGGTTCGGATCCCACATACAGACCGGTTCCTGCTCACTGGCTGAGCGAGGCGCGGGAGCAACACTGAGGGTTGCGATCCATTGCTGGACATGGAAAAAGACAAAAAAGATAAAAAAAAAAAAAAAGGGAAGATTAAAAGCAAACAAAAAAAAAAAAAAAGGGAAGATTAAAAGCAAACAAAAAAAAAAAAAAAGGGAAGATTAAAAGCAAACAAAAAAAAAAAAAAAGGGAAGATTAAAAGCAAACAAAAAAAAAAAAAAAGGGAAGATTAAAAGCAAACAAAAAAAAAAAAAAAGGGAAGATTAAAAGCAAACAAAAAAAAAAAAAAAGGGAAGATTAAAAGCAAACAAAAAAAAAAAAAAAGGGAAGATTAAAAGCAAACAAAAAAAAAAAAAAAGGGAAGATTAAAAGCAAACAAAAAAAAAAAAAAAGGGAAGATTAAAAGCAAACAAAAAAAAAAAAAAAGGGAAGATTAAAAGCAAACAAAAAAAAAAAAAAAGGGAAGATTAAAAGCAAACAAAAAAAAAAAAAAAGGAGGAAAAAAAAAAAAAAAAAAAAAAAAAAAAAAAAAAAAAAACTGGAAGATTAATAGCAGACAAACAAAAAAAAGCACTGAGACACATTAACGGAAAAGCAAAGGAAGGGAACCTACTTGATGGCTATAAAAAGCCACGAGAAGTTGTCCCAAACAGCCTGTGCTTACCTGGTTAATGTTGGCCAATGGCTCCTCATCCTGCACTAGCATTTGTGAAAACTGCAGACCCTGTTCTGGGCTGATCCTCATCACACTCCTCAGCAAAAAGATCCAGTCTGGGGTACACCCAACCTAGAAGCAAGGGAATACCAATCAGGAAACTAAACTAGAAAACTTGACATTAAAAAAATGTTCTCCAGGGCCGGCCCGGTGGCGCACTGCTACAGTGCGCCGCTTGGGAGTGTGGTGGCGCTCCCGCCGAGGGTTCGGATCTCACATACAGACCGGCCGCTCACCGGCTGAGTGAGGTGTGGGCGCAACACCAAGGGTTGCGATCCCGTTGCCGGTCCCGGTCTGGTACGGGCGTGACACTGAGGGTTGCGATCCGTTGCCGGTCACGAAAAAAGACAAAAAGGAAAAAAAAAAAAAAAGATAAAAAAAAATGTTCTCCAGCCTTTGTTCTGGACTTGTGTTTACAAAGAAGTGAACAGCAATAGAGTATGTGTGTATACAAGCCCTCTGCCAAATATAACATCCAACTACATGAATTGATTCCACATATTCATGAGGGCACAATTAACTATACAAACAGCCCAACCACAAAGAAGTTACCCCGACCAGTGTGCAAGCACAGCTGCCAGTGAGCACACTGGGACAAGATCTAGACACCCTCCAAAACACCAAATTAACATAAAGAAGGGTGCTGAGGTGGGAGGAGGAAGAGAGAGAAAGAACAAGATAGATAAAATTACAGGAAAGTTCCCAACTGGAAAGGAGATAGAAGTACTATAAGAATAAGACAGTATAATAAAAAACTGAAGAGAATAAAATATGATCCTTACCAATGAAGGACAGATGCTAACAGCAACACTGACAACTCCTTCACAGAGTACTTATATAGAAGGGTGTTTTATAGACTTCAGAATCAGCAACCACCCAACCACAAATGAGTTATCTGTGAGATGCCAATGGTTAAACATGCATTACCTTTTTGGCGTACAGCACAATTTTCTGAAATTGGCCTGTTTCTGCAAAACACTGGATAACTTTGCTTGGCACATTTGCCCGAAGGTACACACTCAAAGCGAGGGTAGGGTCAGCAGTTTTGACCAAATCTCCAAGCTCTTCCGAACACTCCAGCTGTGGCATGCGAAAGGACAAGGCAAAGTTAGGACCAGAGGATTAGGGAGCCTGCGACCCAGTTTTTAAACTGTGCTGGGGGTTGTGCTCTCACAGTGTTTTTACCTTTTCCTCTTTCAGCCACTTTTCTAAGAGTTGCTTGCGCCCCTGATGAAGAACCGGCCGGCAAAGTTCTAAGGATTCAAGTTTATTGAGCTGACCCTGGTCAAGCAGAATTCCAAAGTACTGGAGCAAAGGAGAAGCCTGACCAGGCTGGGCGGGTACGCTTTGGAACTTCTGAACCGTGTCGCTGGTACGTAGGATTCCCTAATAATAAATGGAAACGCAGGTCACTGTGTTGTAATCACAGGGCATCCCTTCACTCAACTTACTTGCGTTAAAAAAAAAAAAAAAAAAAGCTGTCAATCAAAATTCCACACTGAACTATCAGAGACAAAAAGTCCTCTACCAAGGCAACTGCTTCTACCTTCAATAATAACCGTTAAGTATGGTAGGTCTAGATCCTAAGGGCAACTTCATGGTTAGGGTCTTCTCCCCTAGCATGCTGCAGTGAGAATCAGGCCTCTAAATTAGTTGTGCAGTAGTGAAGTTCTACTGTCTTTATATCCTAACTCAAAGTCCTAGATGAAGACTAGAAATGGTTTGTTCATAACCATCAATTGAAAGACAGGAAGGGCCGGCCCGTGGATCACTCGGTAGAGTGCAGTGCTGATAACACCAAGGCCACGGGTTTGGATCCTATATAGGGATGGCCGGTTTGCTCACTGGCTGAGCATGGTGCTGACAACACCAAGCCAAGGGTTGAGATCCCCTTACTGGTCATCTTTTTTTTAAAAAAAAAGATGGGCCGGCCTGGTGGCGCACTGGAGAGTGCGCCGCTTGGGAGTGCGGCAGCACTCCCGCCGAGGGTTCGGATCCCATGTGGAGACCGGTTCCCACTCACTGGCTGAGTGCGGTGCGGGCGCAACACCGAGGGTTGCGATCCCGTTACCGGTCAGTAAAAAAGACAAACAAAAAGAAAGACAGGAAAAAATTTTTCAAGGAGAATTAACTTGAAAGTTTTACTCAGGCGCACATCTAGTCTCAGGACAATTTATCCAAATGAAATCAACCAAAGAAAAAGCCATAAGCGGAAGTGTTATACTCTAGAAGACTGAAGAAAGTCTAGAGTAGGACTATTGCTAAATACATGTAAAATAGGGTACAGAGAATTGATGTGTTATATAGTTGTATGTTTGACAACTAGGTAGCAACAGTGGAAAATTCTAAATCACTAAAACACAAAACTGTACCTAAGCTAAGATGTTGGGTAAGAAAGATGTATGCACATAGACAAGAACTGGAAGACAATGAAAAACAATATCTTGCTATCAGGGCAGCAAGACGGTGCTATATGTTGTTTGTTATTACTATCATACCACTGGTGCAAAAGTTTAAAACTGAAAAACAACAAAAAAAACCCTAACATAACATTAATATACTCCAATATCAGTAGTGAAATGCTTTTATGACTTATTTCACTCTCAAAGTTGGTTCTTGAAACTTCAGAGTACTTGAACCACATTCAAGTTTCATTACCTTTGGTGCAGATGCTGCTACTTTGGCGGGTTCAGCATAGTTCCCCTGTGCAAAAAAGGTACTGAATTTTCTCACAAACAACTCCTCTGCCCCAGCCAGGTTACTACGAATGGCCAAACGCAGACCAAAGTCTGGATTCTGAAGAACGCTGGTCACATAATTCACAATGTTATCTTCTTCAACACAAACTGACAGCACCTGTAAAAACTCAAGTGAGACTGGCTTATCCCAGAAGAGTGCTCCATACATATGCTCTTCCATGTTTCCTCCTAACACTGAAATGTCAGTCAAGTTCTCAGCTTGTGCTGAGCATGCATGTGATGCTGGCCCTAACAGTGAAAGGATGAAAAGCAGCCAAATGACTAATGGTAACAGTGTGAGACAGCTACAGCATGGGATTCTATAAAGTTCTATACAAACACATATGGACAATGACCCCAGGGATGCATCAGGACTATGACAAAATGGATGGAACATTTTTCTCCTCAACCTTTTTTTTTATGCACAGATTTTCTTCTCTTAACTATCTTTTTAAATTTTGATTGAGAAAAGTAACTCAGATATCATGGTATCTGCTTTTCAACCCTCCCCAATCAGTGTGTGTATGGCATAAAGACAGTGGTGTTATGTATTAGAACTGCTGCTCCACTGGTAGAAACTCCATGTGGGAAGGAGCTGCTCTCCTCTCAGAATCAGTTCTGTGTTAGGAATGGTATTGTCTGAAGAAGGGAGGTGATGATATGAAGAAGGGAGACGTGGGTGTAAGTTTAATAACAGGAGCTAACTCTACGTAGTTACCCCCCCACTCCAGAGAAGAGGGAAAGTTTAAGTGCCAGACCCCAGTAAGTGGAAAAGGTGGAAAATGACACCTCAGTCACATACCTGTCCCTTTTTGTTGACACCAATAATTCCAGAGGTAAGTTCGTGTGGAGCTGTTACAAAGATTGTGTCGGCACTAATACGGTTCATATAGATGCACACACCAGACTCCAGGTCATACATATGAAGATAGCCATACTTTGTGATCAAGTAAATCACCCCATGTTTGGCTCCAACCTACAAGAAGACAGAGAACAGACTAGAAGAGTAAGGAAAAGACAAGTAGAGTAAAAGAGCTCACAAATGATGAGAAGTATTCTTGAGACTTGCAGGTCAAGAGATTATCAGTGGGAGCAATGCTTCTCTGAGACAGGGGCTCCAGTCCTACACTACTGAGAACTAGTTTTAAAGCTAATACTTTGCCCAACCACTCTCAAATACAGGTCCAAGAAAATCTGGCTATTCCACATCCTTTCCCCAAACCCCTTTAAGCAAGCTGTGAGTTCATAGAAGAAGGAGAAAATTCTAAATAAAGATCCCCAAAATTAAGTTCACATTCCACCCTGCCTTCCTCCACCATTTATTAAACTTTGACCTTTTCCAAGTACCATCAACTCTTACAGAAAAATATTTAACACACAAAAAACCCTGAAGGTGTAGGGAAAAGACAAATGAATTTGCCCAATTAGATTACTATAAAACATACAAGGGTACTTCAAAAAGTTTATGGCAATATTTGTATTATCTTTTAACTCTATTTTTCCACAAACTTTTTTTTTTTTTGGTGCTGGCCAGTATGGGGATCCAGACCCCCCCCCCTTTTTTCCATAACTTTTTGAAGTACCCTTGTATAATAACTTTTATAAAATTCTATTAGCATAGGAAGAGACAGAGACAAATGGGAACTGAGATCCCTGAAGGAGAATCAATCATATACAAGAATTTAACATGAATGAGTAGGTAACATATCAGTGGCAAACAGACACTTTAATCAATATACGATGTTAATATAACCAGCAAGCCATCTGGGGATGGGGGGTGAGGGTAAAGAGTTAGATCTCTATCTTACTCTTTAGATCAAAGTAAATTCCAGATAGGTGAAAGATTTTAAATAAAAGCAAATAAAGAGAGTAAAAGAAGAAAACATAGGTGAATATTGTGATTATCTTGAAGTATAGAATTATTTTCAAAACATGATACCACAGCCACACAAAAATGCAAAACTTCCACAAGGTGGAACACGTCACAAATTATGACTAGGAAAAAACATCTGAAACATCACTTTTTTTTTTTTTGGCAGCTGGCTGGTACAGGGATCCAAAAATCAGATATTTAGTATTCCAGAATTACAAAGAGTTCCTACAAATAAGATAAAGACCCCAACAGAAAAAATGCAAAGATTAGGAAGAGGCAATTAAAAAGGTGCATATGAGTAACTGATAAATCCATTCTATTTTGACAGTAACCAAAGGAAGGACAAGAAAACTACTGGACACTATCAGCTATCAAGGGCAGCACTGTCGAAGCTGTCAACTGGCTGGCATGGTTGTGAGAGCCAGTGACACACACTTGCCCCTGACTCAGCAGTTTCATTCCTAGAAATTTATCCTTGAACTTCTGGACTAATGCACAAAGTGTATGGACCACAATGCTTCTTGAAGTGTTTATTGTAAACATAAATACCCATCAATAGGAGACTGTTTAAATGAGTCATGGAACGTCCACAGAACATCCACGGATGATGTAGACAATAAAATATATATATGTTTTTTAAAAATACACGTATTTTGGGCCGGCCCGGTGGCGCACTCAGTACAGTGCGGCGCTTGGGAGTGCGGCGGCGCTCCCGCCGAGGGTTCGGATCCCATATAGAGACCGGTTCGCTCACTGGTTGAGCACGGTGCGGGCGCGACACCAAGGGTTGCGATCCCGTTGCCAGTCGCGGTACGGGTGTGACACCGAGGGTTGCGATCCCGTTACCGGTCGCGAAAAAAGACAAAAAGGAAAAAAAAAATACATGTATTTTATTGATACAGAACAGTCTACGACATAGTGAGAGAAGATTATTAAGTAGCAAGTCTACTTAAAGACATTTTTGCAATTGTCTATTTGTACATATATCTGCATAAATGTATGTATGTAAAGTTACTTCCAAAAGGGTGGTCGCTATTATCAGCAAGGAAGAATTTTAGTTGATATTTAATTCTGTTACATTTATTGATACTGTTGGAAATTTATAGACAACACATATTTTTATAAGACAAAAGTGTAAAAAAAAAGGAGAGCAGATCATATAATCTTACATATATAATGGGATCACAACTTTGCTCAGAAAATGTTTACATCTAAATTTTTTTCTTTTTCTAGTCAAGTGAAGCAATGGGAATGGAGAAGGAACAAAGAAATCTGTAACCGGTTGTGATCAATTAGCTGTAAACACCACTGCCCTCAAACCTGTATATCTACATTTTCATATATAACAAGTAGTAAGATCTTTGATAGATTTTACATCCAATTGGTTGAGATACAGAGGACTGTTTTCTTCTTTATATATTCTTTACACAGTGAACATCTAATCTTCTATAATAAAAGAGATAAGTCCTAGGATTTTGGAACATGAGTTGGAAAAGTTTCATGCTGCCTAACCCATGCCGATGAGGAGCACTCTTTTCTGAGAACTCTTTCTCAGCTCATGTACCAAAGTCCCAGGCCTCCAAATGAGTTTGAATGAATTACAGATCTCTGGTGGAGGGAGACAGCAGAAGCAGCCTATAGATGGTGGCCTCTTGTACCTCAGAAGGTGCTAGAGTGGACATTCTAGAACATAAAGATATTTAGAGAGTAGCACATTCATACCTGCATAGCCACTGGAAAATCAGTCTGCGCCTCTGGAGGGAAAAACACATCCATAGCTTTTTTTACAAAAGGTTGGTTTCCTGCTGCCGGCTGTCCGACTTCAATTATGTGCAACTAGAAGAGAGATTTTACATCAATCCAAGTAAACGCTCTTGGTGGCAGATGGGTGCTAACCAAGGCACCCCTCTTGCTAAAAGGTCAGATGGTGACAACAGGACAGATGGATCTTGAGAGCCCTGGTTTCTTGCTTGGGAGGTGAGAAGGGCTGACACTGCCAACAGAAGTGGAAGCACAGGAAAGGAAGCCAGGCTTCCTGGGGAGGCAGTGGGAGATGGTGAGCAGAGCCTCAGGTCCACACTGTATGACTAATGCTAAAACTTACTTTCAAACAAAGCAAGATGATCCCTTGGTTGAGGTGCTTATGATTATCCACTAACCTGTTCCCACCACCACCAATGTCAGGAAACCTGAAAACACTCAGTTCCAGAATATTGGCCAAGTCACTTCCTTCCCTGGGCCTTGGTGACAATGCCTATGAAACGAAGGGCTCCAACTACAATGTGCTGTCTAGTCCAGCTCTGTTCTCAGATCTCCTGAACACAGCTCAGGCTAACATAAACCGGTGGCGCACTGGAGAGTGCGCCGCTTGGGAGCACGGCGGCGCTCTCGCCGAGGGTTCGGATCCCATGTGGAGACCGGTTCCCGCTCACTGGCTGAGCGCGGTGCAGGCGCAACACCGAGGGTTGCGATCCCGTTGCCGGTCAGTAAAAAAAAAAGACAAAAAGGAAAAACAAATAAACAAACAAAAAAACCCAGGTAGTTGAAAAGATTTTGTCACTGAATGCCAAACTCACAAGACAGTCTGACCATTGCACAGGCCTGAGTTTTTCAAATGTATGCTGGGAGATGTAAGAATCTTTGTAGAATTTGGAGGAATAACTGTGGATGAGGGTTCATCCATGCTTTTATCAATTCCAAGTTCCTAATTTACATAGGTACCTTCCCCATTACTTCCATCTAAAGAAAAGATACCACAGCTAAAACAAAACTGGAGAAACATCAAGAGTAGAGCTGGAACAGAGACTGAAACAACAAGGGTAGGAGGGTGGGCTTAACAGAGGAAATGGACAATGGTATCCTTGGAGGACAGTCTGGATTTGCCAGGCAGAGAGAAGGGAGGAAACACCAAAGAAGCTGAAGCCAAGGAGAAACACTGGAAGATGGACTAGAGGGGGAAAAGCTGGCACAGCAAGCACACGGGGGTCAATGCAGGTGCAGACATGGGAGATCTAAATGTCTTGCACACAGGCTCTTCGAGATAAAAGGTGGCTTAGTGGCTTAGCACAACTCTTTAGCTAGGCTGATTGGTAAGACAGGGTGGAGTGGGTCTGACCTAATAAATGGCTATTCTCTAATCCAAACGTGAGGTGATAAGGGCTCAGTCTACCACAAAAGGCTAAAACAGACATGAGACTTGCTAAAAGTCAGATGGTGACAACAGGATAGATGGATCTTGAGAGCCCTGGTTTCTTGCTTGGGAGGTGAGAAGGGCTGACACTGCCAACAGAAGTGGAAGTGCAGAAAAGGAAGCCAGGCTTCCTGGGGAGGCAGTGGGAGGAGCTTAGCAGTAAGGAACCAGTGTCCAGGCAAACTCCAGCCCACACACAGAGACCAGTGAGTCAGTCTGATAATGACAGGTGAACTCAGTTATAAGCAAGGAGCGTGCAAGGGGCACAAGCTGAGAAGGACATTAATAAGATCCCACACCCTTCACTGAGGTAGAAGAGATGAGATTCAGCCACAATATATGGGGTGGCACTTGGGACAGTTACTGTGGAGGGAACCGTATTTCCCAGGCCACAGGCCTCTGAGTGTGGAATGTCCTGTCACGGAGGACTGCTCCTGGCTCATATCCACCCTTGCTTGATTGCCTGAAGGGGGCAGCCACCTGACAGCTGATGCGGAAGAGCCGAGCATGCCTGGCTTGCCAGTCCTTCTTGTCTCGGGGCTGCCGTCTGTGCTACAGAGGGCTCATTCTATAGAGCTCTCTTTTCTAGGGAGCTCAGCGGGACAGGTTCTGCTCCTGAAAGAGGCCTGTCACTGCCTGGCACTGTCTGTGAGGAGATGGTTAGCCTCATTCTGAGGTGATGTGGGGGCAAGCTCTTTGTGTAACATCACTAAAGTCACTGTCCTTTAATAAGTCCTTAACAAGCTTTATTAGCAACAAGGATGACATTTGTCCTAACTCCTATTTTCCTACTGGTTCTCAGCTGAGAAGGATATGAAGTATGTTACTCGACAAGAGACCAAAGTATCCAAAGAAGTGTATTTCTGATGAGGAGGTTTGGGAAGCCACATACTGACTTAGAACTTCTCTTCTTCAGGGAATACTTTGGGGCTAATGGACAACCCCAGACAATGGCTTCAAGAAGTGTTTTTGACAAGAGTATACTGAGATAAGGGCACTGTTTGGAAGCAGCTCTCCAAGTAACTGAGGCAACCCCAGTAGAACCCCAGATCTTCCTGATGTCACAACCTCTTACACCCTCACACCTCTGCCCACAGCAGCCCTGTCAAACAGGTGCTGACCATTCCCCTGAGCCTAATGAAACTCAACTTGCTCCCAGACATGGCCTCATCTCTCTGCAGCTTCCCGGTGGTCCAACCACCACTACCACCATCACCATCACTGCCTGGGCAGAACCATGCTGGGTGGCATGGGAACCATGCCTGTGGCAAGAATGGGATTGCACTGGAGATTTCACAGTCATCTCCTCCATGACACTGATGCCCAAGAACAGAAATTATGCCTCACCCACCTACCTTTAGGGCCCACCTCAGTATAGTTTGTCTAAGAGGATTTTTAGGGGGAAGGAGCCAATGAATCAATAGCCAACTTCAGGTTACTAACTATGCCAAAGTTGCTGCCAAACCACCAACATGTACATCAAGGTGAAGGGTTCTAAACACTGCCATGAGCCTTTGTTTATACAGACACCTGAAGGCCCTGCCCCACTACAGCCACGTTCGTATCGACTCATAACACTGACTCATGATACTTTTTCTTAGCAAGAAGACAAGGTAAAGCAGATCTTACCTTGCCTCCTGTGGGACTGCGTACAGCAAAGCAGAAAAGGGTGGAAGGCTTGGCATTCCCCTCAATCTTGAACTCTGCAAAAGCGGCAGCATGGCCTTCTATGGGTTGTGAAACCTTCCTATCCATAGAGTAGAGCTGCATTGCCCCAACCACACGGTTTTGCTAAGAAAAGTCATTTTGCAATGAAAGGGAGAGAAAAAAGATGAATGTAAGAAAAAAAATCTTAAAACAAATGTTTCTAAAATGAAAGTCACATACATCACTACACGTTTTAAAATTAAATCTCTATTAAAAATTAAATCTATTTGCTATTAAAGGCATGATATAACTCTGATTTGATGTGAAAACATGGCAACACTAGGGAAAAAAATAAGAATTCAAAAAAGTAAGATAGATGATCCCAACTTGTTAAATACGTGCGTGTGCATTTTTCCACAGAAAATAAGTCTTGTGCACTGTGGAGGAAAAACTCCAAAATGATGACAGTAGTTAAATCAGGGTGATGAGATTATTGGCTAACTTTGAAAATTATTTGGTTTTTCCAAAATTTATAAATAGCAAAAACTGTATTTAATAAAAAACAATAACGTTAATATCCTTACAAAACTTACATTTTCTAGCAAAGAATTACAGTACATTTATATCCAATGCCAAATGCTCAAAAAGCTAAGTAAATGGAGCATGAACGCATCATAGTTTAAGTTCCTGTAATTCAACATTCAAACAATCATCTCTGCCAAGTGAGCCCTCTGTCTATTCCCCACCTACTAACATTGCCTTAAAATGAGAAAACAAAGGCTTCAACTTTTTTCTCTTTAAAGATCTTTCTTATTGTACTTTTCCATTGCACAGACTTATGTTAAAGTTACTACGCAAAGTAATGATAAATGCTGAAACATGGATGAAACTTGAAAACATGTTAAGAAGCCAGTCACAAAAGACTGCATACTTCTGATTTCACATATGAAATATCCAGAATAGGGTAATCCATAGAGACCCTATAATCCAAGAGAAAATAGATTAGTGGTTGCCAAAGGCTGATAGCTGGAATAGGGGAGTAACCGGCAGATAAATAGTGTGTATTCTAACAGAAAAACAAAAAGGAAAGGACAAAACTCACTCTCCCCAGAAGACTACGGGAAGATTTTCAGCAATACGGTGACTGCATACTTGAGTTCCAATTCTAGAGAAGACTAAACTGAAGCCAAGATGAGGAGGCAGACCAGAGAGAACACCTGAAAGTCAACGCTAGAGACCTGGGCTCTTCTGTCTGGTACTTGTGAACCCAGAGGCTACACGTGTGGCTCCAGACAATGACCTGCTTCTAAGCTTTAGGCTCCTGCCGAGGAATACCCACCCCATGAGTGTTAAATGTGCCAAATTTGGGTAAAGGCATGTTGAGGACTGTAACAGGCCAGAATTCAACACACAAATGCCTTCTATGTGCAGGCACCATGCTAGGGACTAATAAGTAAAATGATATGACATGGGCCCTTCCCTCAAGGACACATGATGAGGGTTTCTGGCAAGTAAGCAAGCAACTGCAATACAGGGTGCTGACAACTGTGACACAGGAGAGAACAAAATGCCTTGTTTCCTCACCCAGACCAGTTAGTCAGGGAGGGCTTCCCAAAGTAAGTTGCTGGAGTAAGAGCTAAACAGGTGATGGAAGAAGATAATATTGATTTGATCAACATATGTCAATGCTGAACCCCCAAAATATGTATAATCAATTATAGGGCTTCCCAAAGTAAGTTGCTGGAGTAAGAGCTAAACAGGTGATGGAAGAATATAATATTGATTTGATCAACATATGTCAATGCTGAACCCCCAAAATATGTATAATCAATTATTCAATAAAAAAAATAAGTTGGTTCAAAGATAAACAAACATCTGCATTTGTAACTGCTTAGACAGTGGTTGGAAAACTAGGGCTCCATGTTCCTCTCCCCTTTTTCATGCTAAGGTAAAATTCACAAAACATAAAATTAACCATTTAAAAGTGTACAATTCGGGCCGAGCCCGTGGCGCACTCGGGAGAGTGTGGCGCTGGGAGCGCAGCGACGCTCCCGCGGCGGGTTCGGATCCTATATAGGAATGGCCTGTGCACTCACTGGCTGAGTGCAGTGTGGAAGACATCACACCAAGGGTTGCAATCCCCTTACCGGTCACGAAAAAGACAAAAAAAAAAAAAATAAAATAAATAAATAAATAAAAGTGTACAATTCAGTGGCATTTAGTACATTCACATTATGTAACCAAAACCTCTATGTAGTTCTAAAACATTTTCATCATCCAAAAGAAATCCCTGTACTCACCTCAGTCTACCAAACCCTTAGCCCCTGGCAACCACCAATTTGCTTTGTCTCTATACTTTTATCTATTTTAAGTATTTCATATAAGTGGAATCACAAAACATGTGGCTTTTGTGTCTCACTTCTTCCAGTTAGTAAGGTTTCTGAGGTTTATCCATGTTGTAGCATGTATCAGTACTTAATTCATGTTTAGGGCCGAATAATATTCCATTGTATGGATATACCACATTTTGTTTATCGGTTCATCTCCTGAATATTTGAATTGTTTCCACCTTTTGGCTATCATGAATAGTGCTGTTATAAACATTTGTGTAAAATTTGCGTGGACACATTTTCATATCAGTGGAATTGCTGGGTTAAATGGTAATATCATTTAACTTTTTGAGGAATGGCCAAACCGCTTTCCACAGTGGCTAAACCATTTTATGAGTACATTCCCACTGCTAATGTACAAGGTTTCCAATTTCTCCACATCACTGCCAACACTTGTTATTTTCCATTTTGCAAAAATTACAACCATCTTAGTGGGTGTGAAGTGGTACTTCACAGTGGTTTTGAACTGCACTTTCCTAATGACTAATAATGTTGAATAACTTTTCATGAGCTTGTTGGCCATTTGTATGCCTTCTTTGAGAAATGTCTATTCAAGTCCTCTGTCATTTTTCTTTTTTTTTTTTCTTTTTTTTTATTTTGTCAATATACACTGTATATGATTATTATGGCCCG